CACCTATAGTCCGGACCAGGGAGTGCCGGTCAGATTTTTTCAGCTGGAATGTTGACAGGAGATTTATTGCTGATGATGATTTTCATTCAGTTTAAAGTAAATCCAAACAAACATGTATCAACATTCAAAAAGCACCTTGCCGATTTGAAGGCGGTCAAATAGAGAAGTGGGATTCACTGCTGTTTATTTGTCGCGACAGAGCCTCATTCCTTCACGTTTGTTATCGCGCCGGCTCGTAACTTTAAATCGTCTCCCTTCCCATCAAGCCGTCACTTCGTCAGTCCCATGGACAAATCCATCGACAGCCCTAAGAAGGAACAGAGGACATCCCTTAAATTGCCAAATTGGCCTCTTTGTAGCTTACAAAATTAAGATTGAGACTGTCTTGAGCAGCACAGACACATATATTATTTTATCAGCAAAACATGTATTTATCATTCAGCCTTTCTCTAATTACTATCAGAACATTTATTGTTAGCATGGCACTAATCTTTTTTGTTTATTGACTTTCTAACCACCTATAGTTCCTGTGTGACATTTACTCATCGTTTTCTCCCCACTAATAACTTACCTGGCCCATAGGAGTCTGGCCGGCGGAGGGAGGAATTGTCTAGTGAAGATTTATAAGGAGAATTTTAACGAGGAGCGATAGGCACTCGGCTGTCAGAGTCTGGACCAGGCCTACCCCCTCCCTTCCCTCCCCTTTTCCACCGTCACCCCAGCTAGACACCAAGTTCTATAATTAGCATTTGACACATTTCCTCACTTTGTTACAACACAGTGTTCTGTTCTGAGAAGTGAGAAGTGCGTTGAAGAAAAAAAATTGATGATATAATGATCGGAAACTGTTGTGTGCTAACTTTGTCCAGCTTTGTATACTACCTGATTGTAGACTTGATCTGCTTGGGACAGCGTCACTGGTACAGTATCAATTAACTTTTTGTCATCATACAGGACAGTTCTTATTACATATTTAACGGGTCCAGTGCACGTCGATATTTTGTGTGGGGGTGTAGAAAGTACGAGTAAAGTACTGAAGGCCAGGACCAGCAGTTTATTGCCTCTCACTTTCAGTTTGTTTTCTGGCCTAGTAGTGTGTTTTGTTCTGTGCCGGTCAAGTCAGTTTCTATTAATCTCAGTAACTTCCATCATACGTTATTCATAGTATTGTTTCTTGACACTACCGCATATTTTAGCTCTTTCACAGTATATTACAATGTTTACAGTGGTGTGTGTGTGTGAGTGGGGGAGGGGGTGGGGATGGCGAAAGTAGGGGTATAAAATAAGGAGAGAGAGAGAGAGAGAGAGAGAGAGAGAGAGAGAGAGAGAGAGAGAGAGAGAGAGAGAGAGAGAGAGAGAGAGAGAGAGAATGTGTGTGTGTGTGTGTGTGTGTGTGTGTGTGTGTGTGTGTGTGTGTGTGTGTGTGTGTGTGTGTGTGTGTGTGTGTGTGCGCTGTGAAGGAAAGGAAAAGTCGACGTGAATGACGGCCGGTCAGTTCTATAAACCACGAGCCGCTACTGGTCCGGACAACACCAAATGGACAACTTGTCGACCTCATTACATTGAAACTAAGTGGCGAGTTGCCTTGTTGTTTTGCATGTACCCCTGAATTCCAAAAACCTTTTAAAATCTCGATTTTCGTGCACATGCGACACATATAAAGAGGTGCTTCTATAAAATCAATAGTATTTTATCACAGTCTGCGTGGGGAGTTTTTATGAGAACAAGAACGGTAATTTTGTGTTAGTTGGGTTTTTTGTGTGGGTTTTTTTGGGGGTGGGGGGTTGTTTGTTCAAATCTATTTTCTTATTTTGAACTGACTGCATAAACGGCAAGCTGTTTTCATTCCAGCGGTTAGTGGGTAACAGTGAGTTTATTGAAATTGACTAATTAGTTGTTGTGTATACAATCTGTAAAACTTTCTTTCTTCACGGTCTTTGAGATCACATGCGTTTCAATTTGCTTTTGCTTTTTCATTTATCACCATGGTTAGATTGCTTAATTTACTAACCAGAAAAAAACACCAAAAACATTGCCTTAAAACTACTGAACTATTAACTACAGAGTTAATGTTGACCAGTGGCGGGGCGCCATTGGTGCAATTGGTGCTAGCGCTCCACCTAACCCTGGCCTTCACCCCCCCCCTCCCCCGCCCTCCTTTCTTGTTGTTCTAAACTAGTCAGTGCTCTTGATCTACGTTACCTCCGGTACATCCTTTCCATCCGTCACCCACTGGCTGCGCAAGTTAAGAGACAGACGGCGAGGATGGTTTATGCTTGCGGTAGTGTCTGCTGGGAGCAAGCAAAATCTTTGCACCAAAGTTATTTTTGTTACTGTAGAGAAATCTAGGCATCATTCTTCCCGCCCAAGAAGAAAGGTGCACGAAACTGCTCTTCGCAGCACCAATTTGTTGCAAGCTAAAAATTTGATCCAAGTTTCCACGAGCCTATCTACTACACTACTATAAGTTATAAGGCTAGTAGAATCTATGGTAACTCAAAGAAGAATGGGTATCGAAACTGTTGTCTCCCTCTATTGTGTTTCAAGTCCCGGTGCTGCACGAGGTAATGAGAAATCTTGAAATCTTCTCAGATTGTGAGCATAGTGAGTTGTTAGTATTGTTTTACTTTATTGCAGCTTTTATACGGTTACATCTAGAAACAGTTGTAAATATCGATAGTTGTAGATTACGGGATATCTTGCAGATTTTAATTGACTTTCTCTAGAAATCTTAATAGTAGCTACTAAGCCTATTGCCCATTTGCTCACTTTACAATTATGCGCCACCTTGTCTGTAACACACGCGACGCCACTGATGTTGACTTTTTAGAAATGATAATAAAATAATAATAATAATAATGATACTACTACTACTAATAAAAATAACAATATTAATAATAATAAAGATGCTTAATACTTCCAAAAATACTACTTTCTTATTTAGGTGGTTCGAAAATGTATGAGTATGGAAGGGGAGGGGGGTTGCTCGGCCTTTGACCTGCACGAGGGGGTGTGGGGGTGGGGGTGGGGTGCCGAGTGGCATGCCTATGCTTCAAATTTAGCACTCTGTTGATCCCCGGTTTTGGGTTTGACCAAGCTGTATCCCCCCCTCCCCATCCCCCTGAAATTTGTGGCGGGGCCCCTGCAGTGACACCCTGTATTGTTATAATGGTTTTAGCATTGTGCCGTGCTTGCTATAAAAAGTGTGCGGTGTTGAGTTTAATGAGCAATTAATTACTAAGGATTTTATAGACAGCACCTTTTTATATTTGTCGCACATGCACGAAAATCGAGTTTTTTTAAAGGTCTTTTAGAATTCAGAGGCGCATGCAAAACATCTGAGAGATTCGCCTCTTAGATTAGGTGTAATGAGGTCGACAAGTTGTCCTTTTGGTGTTGTCAGGACTATAGAAACACAACAATTTACCCCCTCCCCCGAAAAAACCCAAAATGCGAAGAAGACAAAATTTTCATTCCAAGACAAATTAGGATTTGTCTTTGATTCGAACCGCAAATTTCCGTGTTTTGGTCAAGGTTGCCGCCTACAACAACTGTGGTTTAACTAATAGGTTTCCTATTCTGGTTTTCCCAGACCAGCATCCGGTCCACGTGGATCCGACCAGAAGCAGCCCATGGGACATGAAACGTTTCATATTAATTTTTTGTTTGTTTGATAAACAGATAGTCGATGTAATTCTTTAATCGTGTAAGTATGTTGAAAATAAATTCTTAACGGGGGAATCCAAATATTGTTTTGTGTTTCTTCAGACTTATATGTTAGATGATTCAGCGTTTTGAGTTTTGATCGTATGATAACAATACCATTGTTAAAACTAATGATCGATAAAAAAATATATATTCAAGGTAAAATTCCCTGTACCTTTCCGACAGAAACTTTTCTTTACAAATTTAATACTAAATAGATTCTAGCTCATTTACAATGACAGAAAATAATTTTTTTTGTTAATGAAAGAATCAAGGGGGTCCGACGTTTTGTCCTTGAGAAAGGAACTTTACACAAATTCCCCTCTTGGCTTGGTCTTCTCGGATATGGACGTTAAACTCAGGGATCCTGCCTCTTAATCAAACTAACAGTGTTTATAGGAGCGTTATACCTATATCATTTGAGTATTTTTTTAAATTTCCAAAAGTACACCGATAGACCCTATAAAAGGTTTTTAATTTTTCTTTTTTTTGTTCTTCTTTTATAAGCTTCATGAACAGGATATAATTTGGATTCACTCATGATTGTACTGACAGATGACATTTAATTTAGTTCAAGCTCGGAATTTGGTTTGAGATTGAGTTTGAGTCAAGGGACATGGTACCAGCAGGGCTCAGAAGTAGATGCTACAGAGCGTCGGCCTATAAATGACATTTACATCTATTGTTTTGATAAGATTTGTTGGCTTTTCAGTCTTTTGGCTGGGCCCTAGCTGAGAAGGACGGTTAATGCGAAGGTCTTGTCTTTTAAATAACCTTACAGTGTAGAAAGGAGCGTTAAAACTCAACAATTTTGCATTTTTTCGCACGGGTCACTTGGTGCTTTTTTTGGGGG